GGGTTACTAACAGGTGCTTGGTCAGACAGCTGCTGTGCTTGTAGCCTTTCCCACATTTTTCACATCTCAGATCGCTACCACTTCGCTTGCCGTCGCCCTTGGACAGGCGAGAGCCCTCGCTCGCGCGACGGTTCCGCGACTTGGAGTTGGCCTTGTCCTGCTCCAACATGGTTGCGAGTGTCGGTCCGTCGGTGAGAGCCTCGCTTTTAGCCGCCGCGGCGCCATAACTGCTGGGCCCAAACTGCGCGCCATTGCCGGGCATGCTCGACGCCATTGTGGAGTGGAGGGCCATGTTGGGGCCCCGGAACTGCGACGTCGGCTTGGACGAGCGGCGCAGGCCATTGCTGCTGCCTCCCTCGAGCGGCGCCCCTGACATGCCCTTGGCCGCCGCCGCAATGGCCGCGACGTTGCTGGCAGGCGTCTGGCTCATGCTCTTCCGGCGTGTGACGCGATGCGCCGGGTTGAGGTTGGCGGCGGATATCGAGTGCGAGTGCGGGCGGTTCTTGGGGAGCGAGCCGGCCATGGTGCTCGACGAGTGCCGTTGCTGGCTGGCGGGTCGGACGTTGATGGGCTCCTGGCAGGCGGCACGGTCAGCGCAACTCGGGGCGGTCAATTGGCAGCGTGTGTATAGGTACCTTGTGGACAGTCATGCTTGCAGTAAAAAAGTCGCCGGCCGGGTGTTTGCTTTGTTGTCCGCTTCGTCAGCAGGGCAGCGGAGTAGTTGCACAGCCTCCGAGGTGTCGGAGGTAATAGAGCGAGATGCAGCTGAGAGACAATGCAGGGCAGCGCAGGCGTGGGCGGTAGAAATAATAATCCAAGATGTGTGCGAGAGGCGTCTGCTAGCTGGAGAGGCGCTGATTTCAAAAATAAAGCGTGTGGACAGGTCCCGGAATGCTATTCGACAAGTGGGGTGATGCCCGAGCTTCTGATATGGAGTTACTGTGTCCAACAGAGAGTCTCGATTCGCAGCCTCAGAAATGCGGCCAAATATCCCCGTTTCAGACCCGGCAGCGGTAATAATCAAGGTTAAGGAAGTGGGTGAGATGGGTGCAGCGGTGGCAGCGGCCAGGAACTTTTTATTATTTGGTCGCAAACATGGCACGCGGCATCTGGGGTCAGCCGGACGCTCACAGCCCACGCCCGACCAACGTGACTGATAGCGAGACCCCGGCCGCCTCCTCCTCAAAAGGTACGCGGCAATGCCGTGGCTGAAGCGACAAACGAGGCCGCCCATGCTGCCGCTCCTATTAAAGACCGCACGGGGCCGTGGCGGGCAGGGAGCGCACCATCGCCCTCGCCCTCTGATTGCATGTTTCACCCATGTTGCTGCTCCAGACACCTCTGACTCTGGCTGCCTCTGTTGCCTCTCCTGCGCATCCCCATGCACAAATCCAGGAACCCTTTGTGCGTGTTCCTGGCGCAACGCAGGTTCTCGAGGCCCCTCGTTAGTGCGCCATACTGTGTGCGTCCCCGCGGCCCTGATTCGAGCGTGATTTCATGTCAAGACACCTGGTCCCGCAATAGGGAACGCCGATCTCGAGCTACTTTGCCCATGGCCGCTTGGGCCAGTCCGGTTCGGGCGGATCAAGGACACGGGGAACCGAGCGCTTGTCTGGAGTGCAGTGGCTAAGGCGAGCCGATCGCTGCTGTGTCGGGCTGCGCGCGCTACACAAGAGATCATCGCCTGCCAACAGGTGTTTGCGCGACCCTCTCTTTTCCTCATTACAGACAATGGGCAGTTTGCATCATGGCGACTGATGGCAAAAGACTTATCTGACTCCACTCACCTGGGCACCCACTCGCAAACCGCTCGGATAGCAGACCAGGCTTGGCGTCATCGCGATCGGTCGCGCACACGGCGTCTGTGCTGCACATTATCGCGCAAGCCACCACCCTGTCGTCTTGCTCGCTGCTGTGGGGTCGCTGGGTGTTGAGTGGTGCGGCACCTGCACCACACAGTCAAAGACACATGACAGCCTGCCAGCCGTACAATAAAACCGCTCGCTCCTGCGCTCATAGCTGGACCACCTGTCGTCCTACCACCGCTGCGATCGGCTAAGATCAACGGGTCCAGATCGTGGCCTGTCGCAGGGATGCAGAGAGTGCCACAGTGACGGATACTCACTGGCAATGGCATTGTTCGTTGTCGTCGGAGTCCGGGCAGCAGAATGCCATACACGCGTAGTATCCACTTGTCGGTGTAGCCTCTCACCACCAATAACCACCTACGGTAGAGCAGCCGTCTGGCATCAAACTGAGCGGTCCGCAGCTTTGGAATTGGGTACACTGGGCATGTGTAAGACGTTCCGGTGGTGTCTATGCCCATGCAGGTGCTAGAGGGGTGCAATTCGCGCCTGCCGATTCGGGAGTCCCACGGCCTTGGAATAGCTTCGTTGCGAGATTGCGCGCCTTAGCTGAGGGGTCGACGACACCACAACCTGCATATCCTCACATCACTGTACTATGGTATAATAATTGCATGTTGCACATAACTGCGTCGAGTAACAGATTCCGGTGTCTTGACGGCCCAAGTGAGGAGTCAGGTCCACCGCGGACAAAACCTCCGCATCAACCAGGATTGAGCTTGTTGGTCGCACGTGTCAAGATTTAGTCCAAAAGTTACTTGGTTTGGGACGGAACTCGCCCACGGTCACGGTGAGAGTGGGCTGTGCGGATCTGTGCCAGCTAAGTTTCACGTCAGCAATGTGACGTCAGTCATTACTTGATACAAAAAAAGTTAAGTTCCTGCATCGGTGGCATATCCTCGGCATGCATCGTGGGCTGGCCAGATGCACACACAGTGACGTGTGTGCATTCGTGATTCTTTATACCGAGACATGTTTGATGCGGGCCTTGTCGGCTTTGCGGATGTCCGCGGAATGAATCTAGATACTTCTCCAGCGGTAAACGGTTGTGAAAACGGACATTGCTGTATGTTTTCATGTGGAGACGGTGTAACAGACCGCCATGTATGTATGCATCTAGTGTCTTCTTACACGCAGTCGCCAACAAGAAGCAGAGGCCATCTCAACGATGCTTTGTAGGGGCTGGTAAAGCAGCTAAGAGCGACGTTCATTTCCACATCGCATAGTTTCTGGCTGTGCCTCAAATTGTACTTTCAACAAGCCTTATTGCACTCTTGCCAGGTCGACATGGCAAGAGCTTTGGAGGTAATGTATCCGCAGTCAAGATGGGTCTTATCGAGCAGTTGATGTGATGCAGTTGCTCCAGTCACCAGCGTAGAAGGCTTAGGAATCATGACTCTCATCATGAGCTCTGTCTACGGGTGCTGGATAGAAACAGTATCGATATGCCAAATTGAAGTAGTTGTGTTGGAATGCATTCGCACGCCAAGTGCTTTCCGATCTTAGTAAGTCAGTCACGTGCACGAATTCGTCACTGCTCTCGGCGATCTCCAAAGCATCTGCCTGCAGCATCGCAACCGCTATCGCCTCATCACGACGCAAACAACCGCTGTCCATCACTCTCCGGGTCTTTAGAACCTCAGTCGCCGCTTAACCCTCCGCAAAGACCGCATCACAGCCCTATCACGACTTCACGATGGCGGACGCTTCCGCGCAACCGAAGCCTAGCAGCAGCGTCAAGCTCGTGCTGCTAGGAGAAGCAGCCGTTGGAAAGGTACGGAGTAGGAAGGCTTCGTCGCGACTCTAAACTGACGTTTCTCAAGTCATCTCTCGTTATGCGCTTCGTCAACAACGACTTCCAAGAGAACAAAGAGCCTACTATCGGAGGTACGTACACAGCCACATGCGGAGATATTGCTCAACAACCACCCGCATCCCCATACTGCCAAACTATGACTAACGTACCATTTGACAGCTGCATTCTTGACGCAGAAATGCAACCTACCAACCCGAACCATCAAGTTTGAGATCTGGGATACCGCCGGCCAAGAACGCTTCGCCTCGCTCGCGCCCATGTACTACCGCAACGCCCAAGCCGCCCTCGTCGTCTACGACATCACAAAGCCCTCTTCCCTCACAAAAGCCCAGCACTGGGTCGCCGAACTGCACCGCCAAGCCTCCCCAGGCATCGTCATCGCGCTCGTAGGAAACAAGTTTGATCTGGCGACCGCCGCCGACGAAGAGAACCCAGAAGATGCAGATGACGCCCCCGCAGCTGAGGGCGAGGACGAGCCAACAGAGGATGGAGCCGACTCGAGGAGAGTACCTAGCAAGACTGCAAAGGCATACGCAGACGAGGAGAGCTTGCTGTTCTTCGAGACGAGTGCAAAGACGGGGCATAACGTTGCCGAGGTCTTCACTGCCATCGCAAATGCTATCCCAGAGACGAGCTTGAAGGGACCTCGTGGTGTGGGTGGACAGACAAACTTGAACAGGCAAGAGGATGCGCGGGTGAACCTAGGCAGCGCACGGACGGAGGGTCCTAAGGAGGGTTGCGCATGCTGAAGAGGTGCATGCGGGTGTGGTGTCGTGTGGATTTGCTAATGCTCACGGAGGAGCTCGATAGCTACGAAGACTTGCGAGCACAATTGATGTGTTCAACGCCGGATTATCAACATTAGGCGTTGGATGGAATGATATACTTTATATTGCCGTCAATATGATGGCGTATATACTGCGTGAGACGTGCGACTGGGCTCTCTATTCCAGGCAGCTAGACTACACCTACAATGACCTTTAACATAGTGTTCCTGCTTGGGAAGCTCTGTTGCAGAGTGTAGTTCAAACACCGGAAGTAGTCAAACGGCTATAAAATTTCGCGTTGCCGCATACATGGTATTGTATTTCGATGAACAAGTAGTATGCAAGACGATGTATACCCCAGCCTGATTTCCCTCACAAAGTCGTGTCCGTTGCCGCCATGTTCGTCGTTGCTTCCCTAAAAGACGCGCCAAGAGCTACCCCTTCACTCAGGTTGGCGCGCCAACAACCATCCCTGCCAGGGGCTCTAATATGCCCCACTTGCACACACGACGCGCTCATTTGCACTCAACCACCTATCTTACGATACCAGCCATGGCACCAGCTCATCATAAACGTCTCGTACTGCCGGAGGTATTAGAAAAGAAGGCCAAACCCGCGAAATGGGTTGAGAAACTCTTCTCGGGCGTTCATGATGCAGATACCTCAACGCGCAGGAGCACGCGCAGCGGTACGCGTAAGAGCGCGCGAACCTCTCAAAGCGAAAGCACCGGCGACTCGCCTTTCTTCGCCCTGCCGCTAGACATCAGAGAACGAATTCTTCATTACACTCTTGCGGGGACCATAATCCGCTTTCGCCACTACAACACCTCTGTCATGGCTCAGTATACCCAAAATGGAGACGAGTCCGTCCGTTGGACGACTTTCGATGATTCCTTCCATGCGGACGGTCTTCCCTCGGACTGGGCACAATTCAAAGACGCCAAATGGCACAGCGGCAAGGGTCTTCCGGGGTGGATGATGCTCAACAAACAAATGCTCCAAGAGTGTGTCCACCAATTCCACAGAGAAGCCATCTTTTGGCAAAATAACTTCTTCTTTACGCCAATATATCCCTCTGCAAAGCCCCTAGGCCTGTTTCGTCTCGACAAAGCGAGAATTGTACGGATCAATACTGGAATCAATTGCCATCCGGAAGGGGTGGGAAAACCTCTGGAGGAGGATAAGTACTCTGTCATCTGCCTACACCCACAGCAAGAAGTATGTACCAAGCAATTTATATACCACCTGACGACCTTCCCGCCAGTACTGCAGATACTCAGTCTGAGCGTGTACGATTTCCATGGATGGCAACAATGCGACTCCTCTAAGTACGCATTTCGCTCGAAACTCACGGGATTATATGAGAAAGTAGACCAATCTGCCTGGAAATTCCGCTCGGATCTCACTTTCCTCGAACGACTACCAAAGAACTTGCAGAAGGTCACTTTTGAAGTGGTTACGAAGTGCAGGAAACCTCTAGTCTATACCGAGAGCGAGTTGGATAGCACCTTTCAGAGATGTATGCGGCTTCTCAAAGATGAGCTGAGACGGATTGGAGAGATTCTTGTGGGTGGCGATGGGGCATTCGCTACGGAAGAGGTGGTAGACTTGGTACCCGCAACAGGTTCATTGGCAGACAATCATCGGAAACTCGACACTATTTGGGGTTTGACAATAACGTCGCCTATGTACAGACGGGCGCAGCTGATGACATGATCAGTTGGTGTCGTGCGAAAGAGGAAGGAACTTAGATGCCTCGCACAGCAGCTCTGGGTGTACAGTCGACGGAAGAGTGGTGCTTTCCTGCAGGAGAGACTTCGGGGACTTTGGGCATGTATAGATGAAGATCTGGTCGGTACGATTGTCATCCATATATTTTCATGGTCGTCGTTTCAATCCCAGTTGTTAAACTCCTCGGATTATTTAAACCATTGTCGTTGTCAGACTGGACATCTTCCCAGTATGCAGTTGTTTGGAAGGCATCCATTAGCACGAGAATTACGACGAACCCTTGTGTACACTCTGAGCTGCATTTAAAATCATCCATAAGATTATGTCTCCTGAAAGCTGTTTGAAAGTGAATGGTTTGTGTAGATCTAACGGGGTGTCCTCTGTGGTTGGGAGGTGTCGAGCTGCCGCAGTAAATACTACAAGCTATACGCAAGACACCTGAACACCGACATGGCGCGATCAGACATGACTTTTGAGGGGAAACGCTGTCTGAAATCTTTTGGCGGGCATCTTCACGAGGCAGTCGCGTTCCTATTATCGAACGTGTAGCGCATCCAATCATTGGCGGGGTCGCCACACAAAAGTCGACCCGCACTAACCTTTTGCGCCTGCCTGCGCCTACCAACTCCATCTCTCCCCAAGGCCATCAATCTGACTCATTACGCATCATCCATCTCGACTAGGAAAGAATCGGAGTTCTGCTATCTTATAATAGTACTCTGATCTAAACCCTCCGCAAACATTTCACGACTCATCGCAAGATCTTTCAAAGCGATGGCAAGAGGTGGTCGAGGTGGCGGAAGTCGCAACCCAGCGAATCAATCGAGAGATGTGCAGGTGTCAAGAAAAGTTAGTTGGTTATTGCGACATGGTGCTGGTCAAGAGGGCTTGAAGTTGGGAAAGGGCGGGTATGTCAATGTGCAGGAGGCGGTAAGTTTGTTCATCATTTTATGTTCCGGGAAGTCAGATACACGTTCAACCAGAAGACGTGGGTATCTGAAGACTTTCATGTTTGCTTATATAGAAACAAAGTAAGCAGTAGCATCATCCGGGAGACTGACAATCCCCAGCTCAACACCAAAACTCTCAAGGGCTTAAAAGTCACATTCCCTGAACTCCGCGACATCGTCGCCAACAACGACAAACAGCGCTACTCCATGATCCTAGCATCCTCACTCGACCAGGATTCATCCGACAGCGCAGCACCACCACAAGAGCAACCTGCACCAGATGCACTTGAAAGTATACCAGAATCCGATAACCCAGCCGACTACCTCATCCGCGCCAACCAAGGTCACTCCATCAAAGTCGACTCCGACGGCCTGCTCACCCCCATCACCCAGGAAGCCGGCAATGTCCCCGAAACAGTCGTCCACGGCACCAACGAGAAGGCCTGGAACCTCATCCTCAAAGGCGGTGGTATGCGACGCATGGGACGCAACCACATGCACTTTGCATCCGGTCTCCCCGCTGGCTTCAAAGCCCTCGACGACTCCACCACGGAGGAAAAGGAAGCCGCACCCGTCATCTCAGGCATGCGCACAAACTCTACGATTCTCATCTACATTGACATCAACGCTGCGCTTGCTGCTGGTATCAAGTTTTTCCTCTCGGAGAACGGGGTTATACTTACGGAGGGTAATGAGCAAGGATTGCTTTCGTATGAGTTCTTCAAAAGGGTTGAGAGTAGGAAGAAGGATGGTGGGGTGTTGATGAGTGGGGGGAGGTTGCCTGAGGGTGTGGTTGTGGATGTTGAGGCGTGGGAGAAGGAGGTTGGGGACGGGCAGAGGGGGAAGAAGGGTGGAAGGGGGGGTAGGGGAGGAGGAAGAGGTGGTGGACGGGGTGGTGGTGGTGGGAAGGAAAGGGCGGTAGATGACGCGGGTGATGCGAATGCTGGTGCTTGAGTGTGATCAAAATTGCGGAGAAATCAAAGAGACGTACATGTGGTAAAGGCGATGAATGACCAAACGACAGATTAGAGACTGGTTGTCGTATGTGCTGGATTTGAGAAGCCACATATTGCTTACCCACTCCAATTTGGGTTGCAGAGTAGCTATCGGCAACATGTCTTTGTAGCGTTCAGGCAGACATTTCACTCAAAAAGTAGTACCACAAAGTTGAATATTGAATCGTGATGTATTGAATCGGGATGTAATCATCGACCGTAGACGAAATTATGAAAAGTATGCAAAGGTATATAACAGAATGCCGCCCATGTACTCATGATTGAACGCCGACCGACCCATGACAAAGGAAAAAAGTATAAACACAAGAAGTGTAAAAACATTAGAACTTAAAAGCGTCTTTGCGCTGTAAACTTTTTGGACTCGTACTCAGATCCACTGATGGTTTTGCTTCTCCACGTCGACATTTGTATCTGCGGGAGGCGTTGTTTGTTGCATGGCGAAGTAGTCACGAGCGACAACACCCTCACTTCGTAGCAGAGGGCTGCTGGGGCGCGTTGTGCTGACGTGGTGAGGTGGTTGCAGGCCAGGGGAGTGGGCGTGCTCGGGCTCTGTGACGATGGCGTAAGCACCACCACCCGTCTCGACGCGATCCATTGGTGAAACACCGTCGTCGTGGTCGTCGCCTTCGTCTATGCTGCCACGTGTACCGATGGTGCGCACCGTCATGCGTCGACCGAGACCACATTCTGGGCTGGCTTGTTCTTCCTCAAGGCGGATGACGACCTCGACAGCCTTTTCGTCTTCGATGACCTTGGGATGACGCTTGGCGAAGTAGCGGGCGTACTTGTAGAGTGACCAGTAGCAGCTGGCGACGTTGATGACAGTCAAGACCATCTTGTACGGTAGGTAGTACACGTACATGAGCACCCAGCCAACGCGCTCGCCCTTGCGGCGGAGATGGACTTCGTTGAAGAGGACGCTGTTGATGAGGTACATGACGACGGTGGCGGCGAGGAGATAACCGCAGAACGAGGGGCGGACGTAGAACGAGATTGGTAGGATGAAGGGTGTGAGGAGGTAGAGCAGAGTTTCGTAGACCTGGTGAGACTGTTAGAATTTGATGAGTGAGAAATGAGTTGTGAGTGACTAACCTCTTGGAAGACGAAGATCTTTGCGCCAATCTCCCACCAGCCGAGCTTCCAGCTACCAAAGATATAGGCCATGTTGTAGTACATTCCGTTGACGAAGAAGAAGTTCCATCGCTTGAAGCGTTGCGAGAAGATGGTCATCTCGCCGAAACCACCACGAGAGCCACCGCCAGAGATGAAGACAGCGGTAGGTGTTTCGGTTTCGACAAATACCTGCGAGCACATCTTGATGCGACATCCGAGTTTGCGGGCAACGTGACCGAAGAACCAATCTTCAGAGACACTGAAACCGGGGTGTTCGTGGAAAGTCTTGACGAGGAGTTCGCGGTCCCAAAGGGAGATGGCACCGTGGGGGAAGGTGGCAGAACCAATCTTACCAGCAAACTCGCGCTGGATACCACTGAGCTTGTATTCGAGATCCTGGGCTTGTTGGCAAAGGTTGCCCTTTGACCCATTTGGTCCGACGGATTTGATGGTGTAGCCAATGCACTGGACCTTGCCAACTAGACGTTCAGTAACAACCGGGAAGTTATCGGGCAGTGCGCAGTCGTCGTCGATGAGCAATACGTTCTTGAAAGCCTTCGCAGCGTAGCAACCGACGAACTGAGCGACAATCTTTGATCCGATGGGCGACCAGATGTGGTTCACGCCGTATGGGCGGCACACTTCTTCCGTGTTGTCGAGAGGTGTAGGGCTGTTACCGTTGGCGATGACAAAGATATGCGATGGAGGGAAGATCTTCAAAGCGGCCTCGAGTGTGTTGGCAATGAGTCCAGCAGACTTGTAGCAAGGGATCATAAGGCAGGTGTCGGAAACATTGGACTGGATCTTGGTCTCTGTGGTGTAGTCGGCAGGGGGCGGGTCCTTCTCGAAGAGGATGAGCAGAGGAGCGAATGCGTAGCTAGGGTATATTAGTCAAAGAAGAGGTAGCGATGCAACTGTGTCAACTCACAATAGCGCTATTCCAAGCACGATACCGAAACCACCAGCGATGACAAACTTTGTGGCCACGACCCAGTAGAGCCACCACACAGCACCCTTCCAGAGCGGAATTCCGATAAGAACAAAGTAGACGAAGAGTATCAGGAAGAGGTAGATGGCGTACTCGAAGGTGTACTGCACCCACTTCTTTCGCTGAATCTCTTGTCCTTTTTGCTTCGCCTTTTCGTAAGTACCAAACATCTCACTCCTCTTGAAGTAAGATGCATTGGTCATCTTCCGCTGGAGAGCGTTGGGGACCATGGCATCAACAACGGACTCTAGAGTCCCTTTCCGGGGCCGACCACCCTGGTGTGCAGCTTCAGGTTCCTGAGGCAAGGAGGCTGTTGAATTCCGGTAAGAGTTGTTCTGTGTTGCGAAAGGATTGTCTTTGATCGAGTTGGGCCTGGTCGCGAAAGGGTCCTCATTCGACCACTTTGACGACGCAGTCGTAGTCCTGTTGAGAGAGTTGGGCGATGGTGCACGACTGCCTCGAGGACTGAGAGCTAGAACGTCCGTTGACCCGGGGATGTAAGAAAGGGTCCTGAAGGGTCTGATGTTTTCCTCTGTTGGTGATGGTAGTACCCCGCTTTGCTGCGACATTCTTTTGGGACCAGTGTTACTGAACCAAGAGAATCGATTACTCCTCCTGCGTTCGCCCTGCGTCTCTGTGCGTTCGAGATTGGTAGAGCGTTGGGTGCCATTTCGGTGTAAGCCTGAGTCCTGAGTTGGTCGACGACGTATGCTTCCTATGCCGTTGGGATCGAGGAAAGGGTTCTCTGCTTGAGGCTCCCATGTTCCATGTGAGGTATACGTCTTGTCGCGTTTGGATCCAAGGTTGCCAGTGGCCCGAAGTAGATGCGCAGGGACAGTGACATCCTGTACGATCTCACTGGACTTTCGTCCGTGTGCGTAAGTCATGTCTGCCAATTGATGTTCTGCAGGAGTATCG